ACTATATAGATGAATATGTAAATGATAACACCAGGAGGAAGTATTCATTGCTGATACCTAATGATCAGGAAATATTTATTTATTTAAAATAAAAAATCACTAATTTGTAATTGTATGTCCTAAATCCACCTTCTTTGTTCATGCATTATAAAAGCACTTGCAGTATCAACACTTAAGAAGGACAGATACTGTCTTGTATTTTTAATATAACAGGTACCACACTGTGAGCATTCAATAAATATTCGTTGAAGGTGATGCTAGCCTCATTTCAGCCTCATAGCACCACAGAACCAACAGGAAATAGACAGCATGTTAGGATTTCGTTTAACTAGGTCTGTGATTTCATATTGGCTTCCTGTAGGGTTAAAGATAAAAAAGGGTCTCAGTGAAGAAAGTGAATAAAAGTAGATTTCTCCCTATTTCCATATCCTTTGAGATAGTGACAAAGAAGGGACTAGTAGCAAATGAAGTCTTCCTTTTTTAAAGACTGGCCTCAAAACCAGTGATTTCTTTCTTTTCATGAGCAGACTTTGCTTAAAACAGAGTCAAACATTCACTTAAGGAATCTGTTAATGTTGGGATTTGTAGAATAGTATTCTGCTACTATTTAAAAGAAAAGAATCAGTGAAAGGTTGAAGGGAGGAAGGAAGCAGAAAGAACAAAATAATGAAAGAATGAAGAAAAAGAAAGAAAGAACTCTAAGCTTAAGGGGAAAACCCATTATACCAATCACTAATATATTTAATACATTTTTAATCATTCTTAAACTTTCAGTTTCTAGAACTTTCATCTGAAATGAGGATTATTTTTATTATTATTGTTTCCTTTCAAATCCTTTTTCCTTCTTTTTTTGAGAAAAATTAGTATTGTCCAAAATCAGAAATCATCAATTTTGTAATCATATCTTTTAAAATAGTGAGTTCAATGTCTACTTAATTCTCTTTTCAGATTGCTTTCTCTATTGCAATTCTCTATTTAACTCCTGTATATGGGCTATATTTGATCTTTCCTAATTGAACATTTAAAGAAAATTAGAAAATATATTCTGTGGGAGGAGAAAATGGTTATATTATATAGTATAGAATTGCTTTTTATTAGTTTGCATGTCTCATATTTCAACTAACCTTGAATCATTTTTACAGTTCAGATGTCATCAGCTAACCACCTTAGGGCAGGGACTCAGCATTCTAGATGTGTGTGTGTGTGTGTGTGTGTGTGTGTGTGTGTGTGTGTACACACACACACACACACACACACACATATATATATATATATATATATAAAACATGACATATATGTGACATATAAATGACATACCATGTAAGTGATTATCAAGCCTTTGATAGAATTCATCACCCAAGGACCTAATCTACTTTCTAATGATTGTTAGTAAGTTGTTTGTTTTTTTCCTCAATTCAGGTCACCAAGCTCAAATCAGCCACTGTTACTTCCCTTCAATGTCACTTATTCCTAATTCCAAGTCTAAGTCCTTTTCTGTATAAGAACCATTCTGGTATTTAAAGACGACTTGACAGCTGTTCACCCTGAGTCCTCTCTTCTTCAAATGGAATACCCCCAGCTTCAGCCTTCAGCAGATCCTAATGTGGAAGGATCTCGAGGCATTGTCCTGTTAACAATCCTGGACACATTTTTCCAACTCACCTCACCAATGCACATCAGCACCTTCTCTGTAAGTTATAGTCTTAACTTCCTAGAGCACTGAGAGTTTAAGCCAAGGAACCTGTTCAGGCTTACAAAGTCCAGATGCATCAAAGGCAGGTCTTCAACTCGAGTAGTCCTGGCTTCAAGTCTAGCTTTCTATCCATCATACTACCCTACCTCTCACTGATTTATAGACATCCTTCCTAAATGTGATACCTAGAATTGATCATGTACTCTGGATGTTCTCTAACCAGTGATGAGTACAGTGGGACTGTCATGCCCATTCTCTTTTTTTTTTTTTTTGCGAGAATACAGCTTTTCTTTTAATGCTGTCTATAGGAATACTCTCACTCTTTTCGCTGCCATATTGCATGGTTTATTTCTTCAATTTACAATCCACTAAAATTTGACCCATAACTTTCCTAGATTAACTTACGTGGCTACCCCCTACACCCCAGTCTTGTTATTTGTGAAGTTAATTTTTGTTTTTTAAACTCAGGTGTAGAATTTTCTGCTCAACCCAATTAAATATCCTTTCATTGGATTTGGCCTAGCATTCTAGGCTGTTGGTATCTTTTTTTTTGCATCAGAAACGTCATGTATTTTATTAGTGTCCCCTTACATATTAGTTTTGTTCGCCAAATCCAGTTTAGCAAACATTTTTTAATGTATATCTAAGTCATTATCCTGTGCACCCAGGATGCAGAGGTGAAAAACAGCCCCTGAACTTGGGAACTTACCTTTGATGTACAGGATGTAGCAAATGGAAAATATAGATTAGCAAATGGCAAATAATTTTAAGGAAAAACTAGAGAAGGAAGAATGAGGAAAGGCATTCTCTGAGAAGTGGCAACCCAACTCAGCCTTCAAGGAAGTTAAGGGTCCTAATTAAATAGCTGGGTAGGGGAAATGCATTCCAAGAAAGAAGGACCAACTCAGCAAAGTCATGTAAATGAGATGAAATGTTGTGTGCTAAGGAAGAGCAAGTAGACTTTCAAAGCTTAGTAGTAATGCTTTATAGGCAGGTGGTAGATTTAGCAAGCATTTGCTTACTAAGTTTAACTAAGATATCTTCCTTTTCACATTCTATGTCTTTGAACACTAAAACCTTGACTGTCGCAACCTTCCTTAGCTTCTTTTCTCTTTTGATTGGAAGCATGGAGGGTAGAGCCTCCTCCTAATACTTCCTTTATAGGCAGCCAAAATTGGACTTTGGTACTCCACTTTGCATCTGCTGCTCTGCCTGGTTTCAACTCCAAGGAACACAATCTCCTCCATCCATTTTGTTTATCCTTTTGTGTGTTAGACTGTATGTTTCTTGAAGGCAAGGACTATTTTTCTTTTTATTAATTTACCCCCATTTCTTAACATAGGGTCTGCCACATAGTAAGTGCTTAATAAACATATATTGGATTGGATTGGACTAGAGCAGTTGGTTGGTACAGTGGGTGAAGTGCTAGGCCTGAACTCAGGAAGACCTGTGTTCAAGTGTGACCTTAGGCAAATCACTTAACTGCTTTCTGACTCAGTTTCCTCATTTGTAAAACAAGAATAATAATAGCACCTACCTCCAAGGGTTATTGTGAGGTTCAAATTATTTTTAAAGTATTTAAGGCACTGGGGTAGCTAGGTGGCACAATGGAAGTATGCCAGGGCTAGACTCGTCTTCCTGAGTTCAGATCTGGCCCCAAGATACTTACTAGCTGTGTGACACTGGGCAAGTCACTGAACTCTGCTTCAGTTCCTCATCTGTAAATTGAACTGGAAAAGGAAATGGCAAACTGCTTCAGCATCTTTGCCTCAAAGCCCTGAATGGGATCATGAAGAGTCAGGCAGGATTGCAAAATTACTGACAACAACAATTAGCACAATGCATGGAGCATAGTAGTCACTTAATAATTTTTTAATAATTAATTTATTTTTAGTTTTCAACATTCACTTTCATAAGATTTTGAGTTTTAAATTTAAATTTTTTTTCTCCTCCCTCTCCTATCCCCTCCCCAAGATGGGGAGCAAATGGTATGTTTCCATCTGCATTCACACTCCAAAGTTCTTTCTCTGGGTGTGGATAGCATTTTCCATCATGAATCTTTTGGAGTTGTCTTGCATTGCTGAGAAGAGCTAAGTCTATCAAAGTCAGTCTTTGTACAATGTGTCTGTTACTGTGTATAGCGTTCTCCTGGTTCTGCTCACTTCACTCAGCATCAGTTCATATAAGTCTTTCCAGGTTTTTCTGAAGTCTTCTTGCTCATCATTTCTTACAGCATAATAGTATTTCATTACATTCCTATGCCACAACTTGTTCAGCCATTCCCCCAATTGATGGGCAACCCCTCAATTTCCAGTTCTTTGCTACCACAAAAAGAACTGCTATAAATATTTTTGTACATCTGGGTCCTTCTCCATTTTTATGATCTCTTTGGAATACAGACCTAGAAGTGGTATTGCTGGGTCAAAGTGTATGCAGTTTTGTAGCCCTTTGGGCATAGTTCCAAATTGCTCTCCAGAGTGGTTGCATCAGTTCACAACTCTACCAACAATGCATTAGTGTTCCAATTTTCCCACATCTTCTCCAACATTTACCGTTTTCCTGTTTTGTCATGTTAGCCAATCTGATATGTGTGATATGGTACCTCAGAGTTGTTTTGATTTGCAATTCTCTAATCAATAGTGATTTAGAGCATTTTTTCATATGACTATAGATGGCTTGAATTTCTTCATCTGAGAACTGTCTGTTGATATCCTTTGACCATTATCAATTTGGGAATAACTTGTATTCTTATAAATTTTACTTAGTTCTCTATATATTTTTGAAATGAGGCCTTTATCAGAGATATTGGCTATAAAAATTGTTTCCCAGCTTTCTGCTTCCCTTCTAATCCTGTTGCATTGGCTTTGTTTGTGCAGAAACTTTTCGATTTAATGTAATCAGAATTATCTATTTTGCATTTCATAATGTTCTCTATCTTTTGTTTGCTCAAATTTTACCCTTCTCTATGGATCTGACAGGTAAATTGTTTCTTGCTCTCCTAGTTTGCTGATAGTTTCAGCCTTTATATCTAAATCATGTACTCATTTAGACTTTATCGTGGTATTTAATACTTGCTTGTTTTGTTTTGTTTTTGTTACCCCCTGCCAAAGCGGAAACCTTCCTTATGTTTCTTGGAGTAAACAATGAATTAGTGTCTAACTGAAACCCCCCTTTCCCAGAAACATCCTTGATAGAGTCTCTGGGGGTGTCCTTCCTCAGTGGCTTTCTGAGTATTGTAGGATCTGTTTGGGGGAGTGGTTTCATTTCTATAGGTAGGACTTCTAATAATCATTTTTTCTTTTTGTAGGGAAAGCACAAACTGCATGTAGACACTGGATTTGAAGGTGATTGGTGTGGCCTTGTTCCTGTTGGACACCCTTGTAAGCAAGTCACCACAACAGGCTTAAAATGGAATCTCAGTAAGTCTGATTTCCTTGATTCATGCTAAAAGTCATTTTGAAAGTTTAAAGAATCAAGCTTCATTTTTCCCAGCATCGTTATATACTTGTATAATTCCTCTACATGGGTTCTCTCTCTCTCTCTCTCTCTCTCTCACACACACACACACACACACACACACACACACACACACACACTCACTCACTGGTGTTTTCATGATAACACCAAAACCTGGCAGTTTTGCAGACAAGGTCTGTGTGCTGTTTGAATGGAATATGTTCGTGTACATGGTGTGATTTTAAAGATTTAAAGAAGGAAGGCCTTGTATCCAATTATCCTTTATCTCCACCAGTTTATTCTTGAAATATCACTATTATACATTCATTCCTTTGGGTTAAGTATTGACCTTTGAAGATTATTTTTAATGCATATTTATTTGTGCAGGGTAATATCTTTTATCAGTAAGGCTTTAAATGTGAATTGAGGTGCCCCCAGTATCGTTTGTGAGAGGAAACTTTTGGAAGCCAGAGTACACTGAATAATTAAGTAGAGAAAAGGAAGCAAAGGACTCAAGGAAGGATGGAGACATGTCTGGAAGTAGAAGGTTCTGAAGACAAAACTTACCCATTGAAAATGATATAATATTATCTATAGAAAAGACTATGAAGTGAGTCATTAAGCCACAGCATAATTTCTGTCTTGGATACCCATTATTCTTATATAAAGGAACACTCAAAGTCTGTGAAGTTTTGCCATCTGTTGAAAAAATGTTTCACTGCATTTTATTTTGACTAGTCCTTAACCGTGTCCTTAAACTCTGACTTGACAAATGAAAAGGCTTAATGTAATTAAGCTTAATGTAATAAATGCTGATTCCAGTTAAATCCTTCAAGCATTGTAGACTTTCACTAGGAAGAGCAATACCACCACACATTTGTAGCAAATTGATTTGACTGATTGCAAGAGAATTCCCTGTTTTAGGAGACTGCCCACTGTCTCTGGGCTTCTGAAGTAATATTCTAAAATAATTGATTTCTTCATGAAATATAAAAGCTTCAAAAATTTTGGGGAAAATGAAATTTAATGAAAAATTATAACACTTTGAGCATAAGAATTTTTTTGAAAAATTCTCAGAAATAGTTCAGAAACAATTAGCAGGCACTGCTAGTGTTTTAAGACATACTTTTAGAAAGCTTATCAGAATTTGAAAGACCTGCCAGGCTTGGTTCCCTTTTGCTCACATAAGTATGTGATAGGCTTTTAAGTTATTTAGCTGAGACTGATGGAGGCTCTTATTGGAGGCTTTTTTGAAAACCTTCCAGCTTAAAACAACTGCTTCCCTTTTCTGAATGCCTTTATATTTCAAGGCCCTGGATTTGACATGATCCTTAGTTTCAAGAGCATAAAAGAGAATAAAAAGGATTTCTCTTCCCCTTTTCCCCCTCTGCCTCCCACCACAGCCCCCCAAATGTCAAAGTGGAATAAAGAAAAGGGTTTTGGAGGCTTGCCTTTTGTCATATACTCCTATCTTCTCAGTTTCCTCTGATGTCCTATTCCCCAAAACTAGCCTTGCCTCTCCCTTAGAGCAATTTTGTAACATAGTTCTCTGAGAAGAGCTTGTTGTACCCTGAAAAAAGAAAGAATGTTGTCAGTGTTTGGCACTTTAGAGCCCATTTACCTTTGTAATCCAGGAGACTGTTCTGAGTTGAAAAGCATCTTTAACATCTCTCATCTTATTTTACCCAGGTTATAACCTAGTGGAGAAAAAAGAATATTTAGAACATGTCAAAGAGAGGTGGAATGGACCATGAGATTAAGTGAGTTACTTGCCTCAGATCACAAAGCTAGTTGATGGCAGAGCTAGCACTAGATTTAAGGTTTCGTTTCGTCTGTTTAAGTTGTAGCCTGACAACAGTGAAAACACTTTGGAGTCAGAAAACTCAGGTTCTTGTTCCCTCTCTCTCTCATTCATTACTTCATTGACCTTGTAAAAGAATGTATATTTCTCTAGTACTAAGCATCTTCATTTATAGAATGATGGGCTGGCCTAGACAACTTAGCTCTAAGATCTTTCTCAGCCTTGTCTAGTAGTGTCTGATTTTATGAGCTAGAAACTATAGATACTGATCATAACAAAGTGTAGAGGATAGCTTGTGGTTGGGGTGAAGTCTTTGGCTTTGTACATTAATAGACAAAAACACAGGAAAACAGATTACCTCAGTTAATTCTCATAGTTACATGGGTGGCTGAAGAGGTAGGGAGTATTCATCTCAGGAAGCATTTCCTCAGCCTCATCATTAGCCAAGATCTGTGCTAAGTGCAAGGTGTGCAAAAAAAGTCAAAAATAGTCCCTATCCTCTAGAAGCTTACATTCTACTGGGGGAGACAACATGTAATTAGGTACGTAGAAGATACTTGCAGAATATAGACGGAAAGCAATCTGAGTGGGGAAGGCAGATACGGGTGGGAAACCTGCAGCCTCAAGGCCACATGTGGCCTTTTAGGTCTTTGGGTAGCCTTTTGACTGAGTCCACATTTTACAGAACAAATCTTTTTGTTAAGGGGATTTTTCTCTGAAGTTTGGATTCAAAGAGCCATACTTGAGCACCTATAGGGCCACATGGCCTGGAGGCTGCAGGTTCCCCACTCATGCATGATCTTAATGGAGCAGGGGGAGGAGGGGTAAAGACCAGACTAGAAAGGCCCTCCTGCAGAAGGTGGGACTTGAGTTGAGTCCTAGAGGAAGCCAAGGATATAAAGAGATGACCACAATCCTGTTAGAGGAGCTGCAGATCACCTTGGCAGCAGAGTGAGGGATAGATTCACTCTGCTTGTTTGGAGGAGGAAGGCCAGGTAGAAGGCTATTGCAGTCATCCAAGAGAGAATTGTAGATGGACTGAAGCAAGGGTTGACTGTGTGAATGGAGAGAAAGGGATGTGTCCCAGAGATCTGGGAAGGTAGACATCATGAGGTTTAATAATAGAGAAGGCTGTGAAGAACCTATCTGTAGCACCACCTTAGAATTCAAAGTCATAACATAGTATCTCTGGGCAACTTCCAAAGCTCAGCCAAGCTCCATCCTCTAAGTCTTAGTACATACTTCTGCCCTATGGCCCTGTTCCTTCACAGCCCCACTTTCTGAGAGGTGTCCACGAGTCAAGAAGACAAGGTCATTCATGTTAATGAGTACAAAGGAGTTCTTGCCCTTTTCTAGGAAAAAAATATTTACATTTTAAAAGAGGCCTTCTGGAAATGATGCCTCAACCAGATACTGCTATCTCTCATTAGAATTTTAAGTTCCCGTTCTGGTTTGGGGGGCTCAGCTAGTAGAGGGACTGGATGGCATATAGTTAGTCAGGTTCAAAATTGTGAATGCAGTAAAATTTAATCGCAAAGAAACATGCAGAACTATCATTCGAAGAAGGCTACAAAGAAAATATTAGCCTTGTGGAAAGATGGGAAGGTACATTAGGAGGTTTAGAACATCACTACAGGCAAAATAAGATATTCAGACTCTCCTGTTCACTTTCCCTACCTACACTCAACAAATGCTTCTTAAATGGATGATTTGAAGTCAGAGGCCTGGTGTTGATACCTAAACCAGGAACAGTCAAAATAGAGAAAGAAAATTATAGACCAATTTCTCTAATGAATATAGATGCAAAAATTTTAAACAAAATACTAGCAAATAGACTGAAGCAACTTATCACAAGAATAATACACTATGACCAGGTAGGATTTATACCAGGAATGCAGGGTTGGTTCAATATTAGGAAAACATTCAGCGTCATTGATCATATCAACACCAAAACCAACAAAAAACACATGATCATCTCAATAGATGCAGAAAAAGCTTTTGATAAAATACAATACCCATTCCTATTAAAAACACTAGAAAGCATAGGTATAAACGGAGTCTTCCTTAAAATGATAAATAGCATCTATCTAAAACCTTCAGCAAGCATTGTATGTAATGGGGACAGGCTAGAAGCATTTCCAATAAGATCGGGGATGAAACAAGGATGTCCATTATCAACACTGTTATTCAAATATTGTACTGGAAACGTTAGCTTTAGCAATAAGAGAAGAAAAAGAAATTGAAGGCATTAGAAATAGGCAAAGAAGAAACAAAGCTTTCACTCTTTGCAGATGACATGGTGATATACTTAGAGAATCCTAGAGAATCTAGTAAAAAACTACTTGAAATAATAAACAACTTTAGCAAAGTTGAAGGCTGTAAAATAAACCCACATAAACCATCGGCATTTCTGTATATTACCAACAAAGCCCAACAGCAAGAAATAGAAAGAGAAATCCTATTCAAGTCAGAGGCCACACTAGGAAAATGGAAAGCCACATACAAAGCAGAAACAAAATTCATTGGGATGAAATCTTGGGTGCAGTCAGCTGTCCTCTTATATTATGGCAAACTACACGAACATAGTTGTTAAAAGGCCTCAAGCACTTCTATTTGTGAGCATATTCCTCCCTTATTTGGGAGAGGGAAAGGAGATGGTGTCCTTTAATTGGGGTCTGCTGTTAATCCCACCAGTGTGAATACCAATGACAAAGATACAAAGAAAATAATTGCCTACATATGGAAGCTGCTGGCATTCCTTTATTTACAGATGAAATCTCCTACTTGCACTAGGATATTCCTAACACTTCTTTTTTCTCTTTTAAAATCTATACCAGGTGAAGCCCAGGATTAGAATGTGGACTTTAAATATTTTAAGTCTTTGTTCTTAAGGACCTTGGGCTTGGATTTTGTGAAAAACGATTTTTCTTAGTAATCAGTATCTTGGAGACTCAAAGCTCCAACACCCCCATTAACATAACCCCCACAACCTCCTCTCTCTCCCCCTTCTCCCAAAGTTCAGTCTGTCCTTTAGAAGTGATGAGGTTGGGATCTGAACCCCAGAAAGGAAAAACCCTTTCCCATGTGGCCATCACCTGAGGCTATAATCCCATCAACTGGCCTTTCATTTTGGTTATACCCATTCTCCCAATTCTCAGTTAG